CAGGCGCGGACACCCCTCCCCCTGCGGCCGCAGCTGGGCCACCCCGCCGGGGCCGGGCGGCCATCCCACTGCCCCCAACCCCGCGGGAGACCCGGGGACAACCCCCCCCGCCCCAGGCCGACCCCCACCCTCGCCGGGGCCCGGGCGGCGCCTCCACTGCCCCCACCTCCGCGGGGGACCCGAGACCGACCCCCACCCCTACAGAGAACCCCCGGCCGCGACTGATCCCACCCCCACGGGGCCCCTCGCCCTAGGCCGACCCCTGACTGAGGCCGCCCCCCACCCCTACAAGGACCCCCAGCTCGAGGCTGTCCCCCCAGGGTTGGCCCTCCGCCCCGCCCCCGCCCGAAGCCGCCCCCCGCCGCCCCCGTGTTCCCCGGGCTGACCTCCATCCGCCTTCGGGCTGGGCCAAGTTCCCGCAAAACCCAGAGAACACATTGCTGTTCCTTCTCCTTTTCCGCCAGCCCCCACCTCCCCTTCTGAGCGCTCTGCTTAGTTACAAAAGGAATCTATAAATTGCATGTTTTTACAGTGCTGGGCTTGAGGGGTGCAAGGAAGAGAGGGGGGAAATACACGTTTTGAAGAGCTTTCTGCGGGTCAGCGTTCCCAGGGCACCATCAGCATATTGCACTCAGAAGCTGCTCCGTCATATTTGGAAAGACCGAGAAATTCCCCTTTCTCCACCCCACCCCTAGATCAGGAACTGAAACAGTGCCCTCAAGAGCAACGCACAGAATTCAGGGAGACGCTAGCCGTCCCCTCTTTATTTCCATGCCTGTTTGGTCCAAGTTCCCTTAGTTTAATGTTTCGAGGTCCCCCCAGAAGGAATCCACATTGGGAGGCGGCTGATTGTGTTACTCTTTTGCCCCCGATCCCCCCTTTTTTTTTCCATCGAGCCTACTCGGTACTTGCTCCTCCTAAATTCCCCTTCTTCACGCCCCCACTGCCATGCTCCCAGGTCGTGCCCCCTCAAAACACCCCACCACCACCACCACCTTCCCTCCTCGGCTGCCTCCTTTTCTGAACATGAATAATTCCGCTGCACTTCCCATCTGTTATTGCCATAGAGACAGAAGCTCCGCAAAGATAATGACGTTCTGTGCAGAGCCGGTGGGGGGGAGAACCGCATCTGTGCGTCTGGGGAGGGGGATAGATGTAACCTCGGGCATATTCAGAAGGTGTGGCTGGAAAGCTCACGTGGAAGGCTGGACGGGAACTGAGACTTGGCCCGGGGTCAACTCTCTTGCACCTGGTTTGTGTGTCTAGCAGGGAGAAACAGTTTTTAGAGACCAAAATGACAGATTTTTCAAGGGGCGTGGGAGGATCCCCAAAACTGAAATTAATGATAAATGTTTAGCAGTCATTTTCAAAGTCATAAAAACAATTCCATGCCAAAAGCCTAAGACCCTCAAATAAATTGGACAGTGAAGAGATTTTTGAGAAATCAAACATTCTCCTTTCTTTTGGTTTGCTTTCCCCAGGAATCTGGTTTTGCTTGAATGCTCTTGGGGGGTGGGGGGGGTGTGAAAGATATTTTATGTGCAATGGCTTGAGAAATCGTGAAGGGAGGGCAGATGTGGTTAGAATTAAGCAAGCTTTGGGGACTTTTTTCCTCCCACTGTTAGTCAAAGCACAAAATGTACTAAATTAAAATTCACCTTGTCCTTGAATTCCCAAGGTTTTGGCCTCAAAGGTGCAGGTTTGAAGACAACTGAAACTGAGCAGGGTACATTTGCATAGATCTGAGGCAGGTGGGCAGACTCGCAGCTCCGTTTTCACAGGCCTACTTAAAGATTTTTTAAAATTATCAGGAAAAAATTTACTATATTGCAACCGGAAGCAAGCAAGACTTGTCCTTTTATTTAGGATGAGGACACAAATTTTAATCCACTCACTCATTTTGTGGACCA